GGTTTCTTTTGTTTGCATTGTACAATAAATAGCAATACATGGTATTTCTTATTTAGAAAGTAATGTCATGCACAGACCCCTCTTAAGAAACTTGTATTTATTTAAGTATATTGAAACCTTAAGTGAGAGGATTGGCCGGAGATGACAGTGGGGACCCAAAGCAATTGCATACAAAGATTTGACATCATCGTGGTATCGGAAGCGCCTGCAGCATAAGAGGACGAATTTAAAGTATTTACGAAGAAGCTGGGTGCAGTTTACGCAGGAGCGGGAGCACTTGATCTTATGGCGCCGCGGTAACTTCGGGTCCGAGCCAGCGCGACTCCATCAGCCGCGACGTGCGCCCCGCGCCCCCGCTGTGGGCGAAGCGCGGCGCTCCCCGGGCGGGCGGCGCTAACCCGGCGGGAACCCCACCCGGGACCGCCCCCCCGGCCCTACCTGCGGCGGGGCTGCGGCAGGAAGGGGGCGGCGCGGCGGGGCGGCGGTTCCGGGCACGTCGGCGGGCGCCGCTCGTTCCTCCTGCACCGGGACCCCGCCGCCGCCGCCCGCCCCATGGCCGCCCCGCAGGAGCCGCTGCCCCCAGGTGAGGCTGCCGCGGGGGGCGGGAGGGAGGGGCGGCGGCGGCGGCGGCTCCGAGGCCCCGCCGCGGGGAGCCGGGCGGGCGGGGGGCGGGAGGGAGGGCCGGCGGCGGCTCCGAGGCCCCGCCGCGGGGAGCCGGGGGCAGGCGCTGCGCGGGGGTGCGGCGCCCGGCCTTCCCGCCCCGGCCGGGGGTGACCCGCGGGCCTGGCTTACGGGGGCCAGGTGAGGAGCCCAGCCCCGGCCGAGGTTAACAGGGGTTGGTAGTTGTTCCCTTCCCCCTCCGCACGCGCTAATTAAGCACGGTAATAACTTATCATGTGCTCGGCTGATGTGCTTTAGTGCAACTTGTCAAGCCTGCTCCAGTGTTTAGCGTGCGAGTTAGCTTGTGCTTGCTAACAGCACATTACAAAGCTAGTTTCTTAAAATCCTGGACTCCGGGTGGTTGGGATGCCTACACTTTTTAACTTACATGGCTAATGGTGCAAATGTCTGGAGTGCCTCATCTCAGGTGTGCCAACATCACAGTTTTTCCCTACCTATCCGCTCAGACAGGGACAGAGCTTTGAGCAGTTAACTAACCAAAAATGCACAAGTGCTGATGGACTTACATTTTTCAGAGAATTGAATATTCTAATGTAATTTGCTGTATTTTCTCCTCTTTCTCAGATATGAAGTTCATGTTATTTGGTCAAAGCACCATTGTTGATTTGAGTTTAATCAAAGGGTTCATCTATATGGACAACATTTGTATTTGGGTGATTGCATTGTTCAAGTTGTACCAGGGTGTACTATTAATGTGTATGCCCCACCTTGGTGTGAAAGAGGTTTTACATGTGTATGGTTTTGGACTATGTGACTATGGTAGACCTTACATTCTTCACTCACTTCTGGAAGTTTCAAGGATGTGTTGCAGGGAAAAAACTAACGGAGGGCAATACGGTCTCTGCTACGTGGTGCTTTGTGAATCCCCTCCTACTGAAAGGTCAAAATGCTGAGGTCTCTAAAACTGACCCTCAGACTTCCTTCCAAGGCAAGGATTAGAAGTTTGAATGTGTATCTGTATATGCATATATACATCTGCATATATGTAAAATTGACCAACTGTTCACGCTGCTAAGTGCACAGCATCGCATCTCTGCTAGAGTAGCAGTATTGAACAGAGTGAAATGGTGGCGATGGGTACAAGTCTACTGTTCCTGTTGCAGACTGGTTGTACTGGGGAGGCTCAGGCAAAAGAGCCGTGGCAGCCGCCGAGCAGTGTGCTGAGCAGCAGGAAGGAGCCTTGGGAGCAACCACCGAACCTGACTGATGTCTGTCCGAGTCAATTTGCACATACTGATTTATGTCCATCTGAGTCAACTCCCCTGTGGTTCCTGGCAGAAGTGTGAGGAAGGAAATGTAGGCTAGTGGCTGTATTCTGTCAGTGGGGAGTATGGTGACAGTGATTTTTTGAGGAATCCTGGATAACGTTGTTACCAAGCTGTCTGTCAAAGTCCCTATGAAATCAGACAGTCTGTACTGCATAGTCAGACAGATGACACCTGTGTTTCCTGTTGGCCTTTCAACATGCAAAATGTGGATGTTTTACATTTGAGATAAACAAAGAAATTTCCTCCCAGCTGTTTTATGCATCTGCATCCAGCTGTATGACATGACCTGCAGAATGCTGTAGGAGATAGGTGTGGGAAAGAGAGGACACATAGCATTTTAATTCCCTTATTCACAATTAAATATTAAGTCTGTTGTTTTAAAATCATCAGCCTACTATCAGTTGTCAACAAGACCATGATGAGTCATCCGCAGCTAGTACGTGGAACTTTTATTCTCAGGTACAAATATTCATACACATAAATGCCACTTACAGAAAACATTGGGACTTGGTAGTGCCCTGCAACCTCAAAAACATGGAGTTTGCTGTTCTTCATATAGAACTAGAAAAACAAAAGGGAAGAAATTGAGGTATAGGGGAAGAAATACAGTTTTCAAATATTTTTCAGGATGGATAATAAGCAAGGAAGATGCAGTCAGATTCACACTAACTGTTTCTGTGAGACCTAGAAAGTAGGAGTCAGTTAAAGATACCACCCTGTGCCACACCACCTCTTGAAGGGTCACTCAAGGGTCTGTCAAATCCCTATTTGAAATGCCCGTATTCTTGGAGCTTCTGTCATTTTTTCAGTGCTTCCCTCTGGATTATGTAAAGTAAATTACCAGTGTTGCAGTGTACCTTGGCCATGTCTTGGAGATGTAAGAGAGAAGATAGGGGATGAAACCCTTACCATATCTACATTAGTCACCAAGGTTCACTGGGGCGTGGACCTTTTGTGGGGTCTGCTTTCATCTACCTCAAGGGTGCTGTTATATTACAAGGGCAAAAGAAAGGTTTTTTAAAACTCTTTTTTTTTTTTTTTTTCCTTAATGCATCTAAGAATCCATAAGGAGGAGCTGCAAGGCCTCCAGAATAAGTTGATAAGTTGCATGCTTTGCCACTGGGTTTGCTGGGTCTTTTCTGACACTGGAGAAACTGAGACTAGGGATGCCTGGGCTGGCCTTCCTCCTCGGAGCCTTTTTTGGCTCCCAGTGTCACCTCCTTGTTCAGCTTTCCTTTACAGGGCGGGCTTTCCTCTTTGCCCCAGCTCCCTTTACAGTTCCTTTGCAGCTCTCTACTACAGTTCCCGTTTGGATCCTCCATTCTGGCCCTACTCTCAAGCAACGTCTTAAAACAGCTTACAGTATTTTCTCATGCCCTAGTCTGACTCTCAACCTTTCCGCATTTGAGTTGGCAAGTTTATGTCAGTTTGTGCTGGCCCTTGCCATCAGGATAGGCTTTATCTGGAATGTTCTGTTAATACCATGTTTCTGGAGCAGGGATTTCATAGTTACCAAAAAAGGCACATGTGACAAGAATATGGGGTTTTGGTTGTTTTTGTTTGGTTTTTTTTTTTTTTTTTTTGACTCTTCTGCATATGTGTTCCTAAACTTTGTACTGCAGTGTGAACACGCTCATCTGAAGTTTCATAGACCTCTGCCTTTTTAAAACCTTGAGTGTGCCTGTATGCAGAGGCTGTGCTCGGGCCTTGGAGATCTGGCCCTTGGGATCGAGTGCCACCGGCCTGGACAGTGCGTGTGGTTTTAGCATTGCGGGCAGGGGCTGGGCACTGCACCGGGCACCCAGGAGCTGCTGCTGCTGCTGGGGCTGCCTCACAGAACCAGGAGGGAGACCGGCTCTGTCCTGGAGCCCTGGGGCTGCTTCTGTCCCACTGCTGCACACCTTTTCTGTTTTCAGGCCTGTTTATTTTACTGTATTGCATTGTCTTATACTTTAGCTTGTTGTTCTGTTTTATTGAGTAGATTTGTAGAAGTAGGTCCCAAAATAAACAATTATGTTAAATTTGAGTTGGTTAGGATAGCGTCTGTGTAACTGCTGTGCTGTTTTGGGGCTCAGTGTTAATACTGTGTGTTTTGTAGTTAATTTCTGGGACTGTGTTCTAAATGCACAGATTTCTGTATCTGGGAGAAGCTAATCACCAAATATTGATTCCAATCACCTCTTACTGGTTGTGGCCGAAAACATTTAATGTGTACTTGTAGTAAGCATAAGGACTTTTAGAATGCAAGTGACAAGAATGGAGTAAAGATCCTACTACTTAATTTAAAATGCTTTTTTGGTTTTGGAAACTGATACTTATCAACAGAAGAGATTCATCAAGGAAATGTCAGGACAATGGTAAATTACAGGAGTGGTTGAGTGAATCCTGACTTCTGTATGAGATTTGTTTCAGATTCTCTGAGCACATTTGGTCAGTCCCCCACTACTATTTGTCAAATTAGTCATTGATGCAGAGGGGTTGACATTTAATTATTCACCTGCAAGTACTTCAAAGTTTTATTTTTGTATCCTTTTAATGTTAATATAATTGGAGTTTATGATTCTACTGTATACAAATAATTGCATTTTACCTCATATATGCTTTTTTTGTTTGGTTTTGTACTATAGTATGTTGTTTATTATAGTATTCATTTTTGTTGTAGTGGGTGTGTTTACTGTTTGAATTACCGCTTTGCGGAAAAAACAAAGAGCTGTCACTGCAAAACTTTTAGCAGATTTACTGGATTTTATTCTTTATTGTAGAATTGCTTTGTGATTTATTTTTTCTTTACTAAAAATAATTTCGAATTTTTACTTTCTCTTTTGTTAGCTTAGAGTTGGATTTCCTTGTTGCATGTACTTTCTCACCTATGTGCTAGTAGTTCTGACATTTTCTAGTTTGTCATGTTTTCTTGTGGAAATGTAATTTGACATAATGCATGTAATGGCTGCATAGTTATGCTTTATCTTGGTCAGACAAAGAAGGAAAATATGAATTGCCAGATGGAAATACTTTGAGGATTATGCAGTGATAAAGCTTTCTTATTTCCAGCAGATCATGCAGCAAAAGAGCCCGTGGAGGATACAGATCCAAGCACTCTTTCCCTAACGATGGTATGTGTTTCTGGTCTAACACAGTTAAAATCATTATAACTCTCTACAGTTATTTAGTGCAGAAGTAAGGTAAAACATTCAAGGATGTTAATTCAAACTGTGCATATATATATAGGGGTTTGCTTATCTATATGATTGTATAAACAAATTTTAATTTACTAAATCTGTACAGTTCAGGTGTGAATAAAAATACCAGTAGGTACTTAAGCTGAACTGGATATTACCAGCTGAGCTCTCTGTGGGATAGTCCTCTGGAGGCTTTTTTTTTGTTTTTTTCTTTTTCATTTAAAAAACCCCATAAAACAACCAAGGAAGTTTGGTGCTGACGTTCTTCTGCCTGTATGGGTCCGAGGGATAACAAAACCCACCAAAGGCTTAAAATTTCAATTGAGTTATTCCTTCCTGTACCTATTTTGCCTGATGAGTTAAAGTCATGGCAAGGTAGGACCAAACAGCAGTGCCTTACAGCAGGCACGGGTGAACCCAGGGAGAGGCCGAACAGCGCGCTCTACTGCTTGCTGGCAAACAGGGTAGCGCCGTCTACGACAAGTTTTTGTGTCTTAAGGTGTTAAACACGCCAGCCTCGTGCTGAGACAAGGAGTATATCAGGTAAAAGCAATATGAAAATCTGTGAAGACTTTTAAGAGTTTTTAATGTTGGTATGGATTGTTTCCTCTGGGGAAAAGATGCAGTGCTGTGTAGCCCAAAGATTGCTCTCTAGTGTAGTTATGTAAACAGATTAAAATGCATTGGTTTATTTTATGGATGGCAAGTGAGCAAGCTGTTGCTTTGCCTTGGTGTTTTCTATCCCTTTTGAAACTTTACAAGAGGGAGTCAGCAGGAAATTCTGAAAATTTCACTAGTACTGATCCTTCACTGGGATCCATTATTGCAGTATGTGTACATGCATATATGTTAGCAGGTTTTAATAAAAGATATAGACATTGTTTTTGTGCACTGGCTAAATTAGATACTGTGTTTTGCTAGGAGGAGTTTTTAAAAGGTGATGGAAAGTTGCTATGTCTGAAAAAAGTTAAAGTTTGTTTATCTCCCCCACTCCCTTAAATTAAGAAGTCTTTAATCTGTTTGGTTGGATATGAGCATCTATAAAAGCCACTCCAGGCAGCCACACAGGGTAGTAGGGATCATGGGGAAGAAGGTAGATTTCAGTAAGTTACAATATGCTTGGAAATCAGCAGCTATCCCCTTAAACTCAGTAATAATAGTTTTCTATTTCATCTTAGTCAGCTTTTTAATTCTAGAGCAGAAAGGAAAAAAATTTTCTTTCAGTACAGTAACATTTTAGTAAAAAGCTTGTATCTGCTGAAAGAGCTTTTGAAATCATCTCTATTCCTCCTGATGCATTACCTTTTCTAGATTATCTTGCTACTGAAATGCAAAATTTATTTCCCAATCTCTGCTTTTTCACTAAAAAGTAATACCTTTAAAAATATTGCAGCAAAGCAGCAATCTCAATTTCTTATGCACATGCTAATCAGTAGTGTTAGTAGCATCTCAGTTCCCACGTAAGAGCAGTGTTTCTATATCTGATTGTAGATAGATCAGCTAGTCACAATTTAAGAGATGCAACTCTTAAATTATGCAGTTTTACATACTCTTTCTCCATCACAGTTACACTCAAAATAACAAACATCTGTGTCTCTTGCCTTTTTGTGACAGACTGAAAAATATCCTGTCCAAGACACAGGATTACCTAAAGGTAAGTATTGTGAATTTTGTCTATTCAGTACCATAGAGCTGTGTTGTTATATCCGATAAAACCATTATCCAACAGATTGAAATACTCTTACTTTTCCCTAGATATTTATGTTTTAAATGTAGTGTTGTCTTCTGTAGTTTTAAGGTCAGTTTGGTGTGTATATGTAACTTCTGAAATTTTTTCCAAAGTTTGGTTTTGGTCTAAAAGTCAGTCTAAAACTATCATTGGAAGATCTTAGTTCTCAATCTGGAAGGAAAATAGAGTAGTGCCATCGAAAAACAGTGTGTTCAGAGAACAGATGGTAGAGACGTGATAATGTTAGAAGGTGGCTTTGAAGATATTACGAATGCTTTCAGGTTATCAGAAATATAATCCAGACATACCTTTCAGGTCTCTTACCTCTGATTGCAGTCTCAGCCATCTTTTACCTTCAGTGGGTTATTCACGGGATCTACTTGGCAACCGAATATAGGTCCACTCTGCACAAGTTCATGGCTTTCCTTACTACAAATGGAGGGAGGAAGGGGAGGTTCTATATTGCAGTGAAGTCAAATTCTTGGATTACAAAGTGTGAATATCCCCTTTACGATTTCCTTGACATGTAGGGTGGGTTTTTTTATCACCCTGGGCTTTACCATTGGCCTTTGTCCAGGGAATGCACTGACAGGGGCTCAGTTGAGGAGCCCATTGCAGGTAGGGTGTTCTCCACCCTATGTTGCACAGCAGGTCTGCAGCAGGGACAGACACACGAAACTATGCAGAAGCGGCTAGTTACAATGGAAGCTTTTGCTGAGGAGCATCAGCAATATACCGCTGGGGTTAGAGACTGTTTTGGGGGCTTGAGGGAGCCAGCCACAGGAAATGAGCATCTTCGCAGAAGTGCTGCTCAGTAGGGAAGGAGAATGCAGGATGAAAGCTATTTGAAATCATAAACTACTGTTTATTTGCAGGCAGGTGGTTTGTTCCTTCAGAATTGTTTACTAACACTGAAGCAATTTCTCTGTAACGTTCTTTTCCATGTCCTGTTTTTTTATTTCACCCATGGCGTTAGGTCCTCCTGAAAATTAATTAGATAAATTTCTAAATTTCAAATTTGTCAAAGTTGTTTGAAATCTGAGATTGCATGTTTTAAATGCATTTGATCTAAAAAGGAAAGCTGAGAGGAAGTAGAAATTTAAGCACTTTCTGTAGAAAGGAAGTGAACTCAATTTATTTTTCATTTTAGTTTCTGCTTCCTTTTGCTAAGTGTAAAAAGATGTAAGTACTAATATAGTGTGACATTTCTCCTTTGGGGTAGAAAGTGATACAATTATCTCTTAATATTCTGTTAATTTCCATGATTAAAATTTTTCTTCTAAGAATTGCTTTTCATAACTAGTTCTATAAAAATACTGACTTAGAAATATGAATCTGTGAGCTAAAAAGTATTACAGATGTGCAGGTCTGATCCTGTGTAACACAAAATTCTATTGCTTCAGATCTAATGTTCGAATTAGAAGGGTACATTGGGGAGGGCTGCTTGGTTGCTTTTACAGGTCAATTAATGGACCGTTTTAGGACCATAACTTATTAAAGGTCTTGGCACCCTCTAGTGGTTATGAATTAAAGGTGAGTTGAGGGAACTTTTCATCTTGCAGGACTAGGCTTAATGTTTACATCATGTTTTGATTATAATTCTACCTCTACTCAACTATAGAACAAATTTCACACATAATGTTTCCACGCAAATGAAGTGGAATTTTGATGCCCATACTCTGCATTTTCAGCCAGAATTTATTTTTTTTTTTTTATTTCTGTTGTTGTACTCTCTGGACCTACAGTCAATAAAGGTGATCCTTATTAAACATTTACCCTGCTGGGGGTGGAATACTATCTGGTGTTAAGTTTTAACAAGCTGATACAACCAGAAGAGGAGGAAAATAATGATATTTTTTTTTTCTTGCAAGCATAAGAAAGAATTCTTTGATTGAGATCAATTTATTGAGTGAGATAAGGAAATATGTCTTCTTTCTGTTATCTGACAATTCATAAAGACAATAGTTGTTCTTTAATGAGATCTTGCCACTAAACAAACAGCAAATGGAAAGGTACCAGCACTACAAATGTAATCACCACCACAGAGAATTCTTGTGTGTAAAAACATATAGAATATAACCTCTTTAAGCTCGTGTTAATGGTTGGGCAGCACCTGACCCAGGGGAATTATGCAAATGGTTTGATGATGAAGACCTTATTAATTGTGCAGAGTAAAATTTGTCTGATTGCATAAGGTTCAGAAGGGGCTTATGTATCCCTTGTGCCCCATTTTGATGGATGAAGTGAAGCTTGAAAGGTAAATAGAGTGTGCTTTACTGGGGAACATTGTGCTTTTCAGTGGACTCCCAGGGCAGTTGATAAGCACACTTTGAAATGGATTATTTGACTGCTTCGGAAAACTCTTGTGTAGTGAAGATAAGTAGGATGAACCTAATTCACAAAGAGGCAGAATAAAAGATAAATATTTGTGTAGTACATATTTCAACAATTATAGTTGTAAGTATTATGAGAAAAGAGAGTAAAAATCATAGTGACTTGCAAAAATTACAGTGATTTACAACAGTTGTCTTCAGCCTACTTTGATGTTAATGTTCTTTGGCCAGCTTTATGAAAGAAGAACATGACTCTTCCTTCAAAAACAGTGTGTTGTTTGAAAAAACAACTGCTACGTTAATATCTAATCTCTGCAAGGATAATTTTTCTTCTCACAGTCATACTCTACATGATTGTTGCAGTATCTGCCAGTTTAATATTTTGAGTTTTTAATCCAGATTTTCCCAGGGACTGACCATGATATGGAGTTAAACTTTGTATCTTAGCCATCTGTAATTTATATTTGATAGTCTTATTATTTAAATTTGTATTTGGGTGGAAGGCTAGTGTCTCACAGTCTTTGTCTTAGATGAGGAGTACCTAACAGATCAAGTTACGTTGGAAATTGCGTCTGTGAACATAAAGACCCTTACGTCAGATTCTGGCCTAATCCAACAGGTAAGAAAAATGGTATCTGAATGTGAACTAAGTTATTGCTGTTGATTAAATAAGTATGTTAACAAGTATTTTCAGACTATATCTGGAGAGCATGGAATTACTGAGTAATACAAGCCAGAAATAGGCTCTCTTTTCAAGAGTTTAATTAAATGAGCTTTTCTGGAGAAGAGCAAAATAAAGGTTATTTAATCACTAACGTATACTTTGTATTTTAAATAGGTTTAGATTAGTGTGTAGATGCTCTGAAGGAAAGCTGACAGAGAATTAAGGCTTTGTCATGCATGCCCTCCCTCTTTCCCGCTGAAAATCAAGCCAGGGCAGAGAATAAATGAAGAAGTAAGGGATCCTACGTTTTGGACTCCTGGTGTTTTGCCCTTAGGGAGGCATTTGATTGTTCTGCTTTGACTTTGGGATACTGCTCTTCACATAGTGGAAACACTCTCCAGTGTTTGTGAAATTTTACATTGCCGTAAGGTGGGCAGTGTTGAGTGATTCCATGGTAACCATCTTTCAAGTGAATGTTATTTGCTGAATTTCAAATTGATTCTCCTTGGGTTGAGCAGAAAACTTGGAGAAGAAAAATGAATGAACATTTTCCAGCAAGACGGAGAATTAAAAATAGTTCCTTATGCCAGAGTCCCAGCTGAATTTCATCAGAAACAAACATGGGTTTGGTATGCATTTCACAGATGATGGAGGTAACAATCTCATTCCCATCATCAAGAAGAAAGCATTTATTGCTAGCTTAGAATCACTATGAAGATATTCCAGTGTATTAGGGTGTTAACGATTCTACAGACCTGGAAAACTTTCTACTTGTCTTCAGGCTGTGCATAGGTTTATGGCTTTGATTAGACCTGTAGAGGTTGATTGGATTTTAATTGTGGGGAAAAAATATTCTTGCTTAATGCCTTCATTTCATGGGCAGTAACATTACATTGTCTCATTGCAATTACACTACAAGAAAATGATCTTGAATAAACCTAAGTGCATCTGGCTTGATAAAAGTGGATAATAACTGATCAGTAACAATATTAATTTTGAAAACAGATGTACGGCACAGGTAAGTATCTATGTTTTTCTTTGTACTTTTTGCAGTACTAGCCATTCTTGTTATTTTTATCGCAAGGCATGAGTACCATGGCATCTCTTAAAGACATTTAGGTGTTGAAAGCTAACACAATATGGTTTGAACTTTCATAAATTCAGGAAGTCTGGGAAATGTTACTGAAGCTCTGGACAGCAACTTAGCTATTACAGACTAAGTGAACAGTATCCTAGTATCCACTTTTCTTCCCCCCCCGCTTTGTTTTTATTTCCTTGGTTGTTTCTTTTAAAACAGACCTGTGGGGAAGCTGAGCTGTAATGGGCAGCTCCTTATTCTCCCAGTGAGTTATGCTTCTGGCAATTTGCTCCTCAGGGGTCACTAAAAATGTTCTACCTTCCTAAGGAGTTTTTGGAAATGGAGACAATGACTATAAATCAGGATCTCCAGATTTAATTTTTCTTAAACTTTGTGTGCTCAAATGTTGCCATGAAGGCCAAGTTCATGTTTAAAAAGCTCTGTCCAGAGAAAGCTTACATGGTGCCAGTGGAAAAGTAAACTATTAGAAGATAATGGCAAGGATTATTATTGTTGCAAGTGGCATGTGCAGTGTTAGATCTCTCCTGAGCAGAGAGCAGACATTTTGTGAGGTGAATTGATGTTGCATGTGTGATCTTGCAGTTTTCAGGGAATAAAGACATGCTGAAAACAACATGCAAATTTTTCCTTTCCTAATATAGTCTTTAAATATTTTGGAGATAGTTTATCTTCTTGATAATTGGACTGTGAACGTATGCATGTTCACCACATCAACTGAAACTGCCTATATTCTATTTTTAGTTGATTTCTTAGTAAAGAAGGTGTAGCAAGTAGGAATAGTCTCTTATGGTATATTGTTACCCAATTGACTTGTGTTTGCATGCACAGCCTGCAAAATGTTAAGAAGCCTGCTGTGATAGTTTTGGAAGAATGATGCAATACAAAAAATCAATAATATTTTATTTTAGCTATCTAAGGCTAAAAATCCCCTTCTGCTTTCATCTTTAAATCCACAACAGAAGAAAGCTATTTCACCTGTCTCCACACCTGTGTAGTTAAAGTAAGGTCAGCTACAGTATCCCACAGTCCTAGGATCAAGGGTGCTGTCCTTCCAGTCTTAAGACGTTGCTCTAAATAGTAGAATTGAAATGTTACAACGTGTGTTGCAGTCTCAGGATGCTAATAATTTCATTATGCTTAATTAGCAAGCAAAAAACCACTGAGGGAATGTTTACTTCAGACAGGGGGAGGGTTAGACATGAGCCAGCAGAAATGTTCAAGTCCACCTGTTGTCTAGAAAAGCTTCTTATGTATGTAAAGAAGTTTGTACAAAAAAAAAAGCTCTTCCACTTTTCCTAGATCAATGAAACAGTGCTTCAGTGCTGCATGTTACAGGCAAGATTCTTGTTTGGTTTTGTTTTTTTTTCATTACAAAACATTTAAAAAATCTTTTTAATCAAACCATATGAATTTTTGAACAGCTGTTGAGGGTTTAAGAACAAATTATTCAAAAGGTGTAAGCCCATAGCATATCATTGTTCAGTGAATACAACCAATAGGGCAGTTTTGTGAGCCAGAGCATGAAAATGCTACCTGAAAAGGCTGCAGATTGTCAGTAATTCCTCAAAACTGGATATATTCCCTGTCTGACTTTACAGATAGCTTGGGATTCTTCTAAGTAACCTCCTGCCACTCATAAATTAGCCAAATAGTTATTCTGGTGTTCAAATACATTGTTTTGTTTTGATTTATATTTATTTTCTGCTTTGTAGCCAGAAGACAAAGACACGCAAAACCATACTGATGAATCACTTTCAGGTAGTATGTCAGCTTTACTGTTCTACACATTTTATTCTTGGAAGTACTTTATTAAAAACTGCTATTTGTCATAACCAAGAACTGCCTGGGTAATCAGTGCTCGTGAGGCTCATTTCATTACCACTATCATTTACAGCTTCCTCTTTGTTCTAATGAGGTGGTGATCAATAATGCAGAACATACAACATGCGTAAGTTGGGCTTTCCAGATACATCTAGTACATCCACCTTTGGAAGAAATCTGTAAACAGCTATCAGGAGAGAGCAGAAGCTGGCAGTGGGCTGTGGGGAATTTATCACAATTGTATGAGCTCTGCTGGGGCTGGGGTGTGTGTAGATGATACACAGACCTGTTAATCTAACAGTGAACAACTGAGAATTTCCTGTTAGTAAGGAAGCTTGTCCTATCATGTAACAGGAGACTCATGCAATTGAGTGAGTAGGTCATCATTTGCTCATCAGTGTCTAACAGAGGGCATCTTAGAAAACCAGGATTTTTTTATAATGCTTTTGACAGTCTGCAAATGGTATGGCACAAGAAGCAGGTTGGTTTAGTTTTGTTTACCTATAACTGTGCCCTGTGTTTTCTTTACCCTTTCTTCCCCCTGCTTCCATTGGAGGATAACACTTATTCTGGCATCCTTCCAAAGCAAAGTAAGATGAAATTTAGATATGGTGCTCTCCTGCCCTTTGAGCTCAGCCAGAACTTTGATTGGGTTACATTCATTTTGCCTTGTTTGTATAACTAATTATTGATATGAGTGAAGCAACAAAGTTCTGTCTCACTTCAGCAAGAGTTTAGGGTGCACAAGAAGAGCAGAATAGTTCTGTTCTCATACATATTTCTGTAGAGAACAGCTGCAAGGCCTGTAGAATATCTGTGAGCAAATATGTCACCAGAACATGTTTCCCATTAACAGGGAATCTAAGCATTTGTATGAAGTTATGTGTCTGCAGCAGTGTTGTTGCTGCACGTCCTAACTTGTTGAAAACTCCAGAAGTTGTCTTTGGCCTGCTAAAAAAGCAAACTGATGAGCAGTGTTACAAAAATAACAATAGCTTGTTCTTCCCTTAAAAACAAAACAGGGCATCCAGCTGATTTGCTTTTATCAGTACTAATATTCAGAATTAAAAAAATCACAATTTTATGGTCTTCCTAGAATTTTCACACACTCTGACAATAATTACTGCAAATTAAAAAACCAAAACCAAACGCAACCTTAACAGATGCTGTTGTCTGTATGAGTACATAAGTACCAGATTTGCCCTTTGCCAGAGATACTGTCCAGGTCTCGTAGACCAGCACTGATCCAGCACTTGTACATTGTATGTCACTGATTTCTGTTGTTGTTTTTAATCAATATTTTTATTAATATCACTTTTCTTACTGTGGTGTCCCTTTTTCAAAGAGTTTCATCCCAAGTAGGACCAGTTACTTCCTTATTTCAAGCTGTACAGTGAGGCTGGAGGGCAGAAGCTTTAGAAGGTGCCTCTAGGCTGCATCCATTATCTACTCTTATTTGGAGATACCAAATTCTCTCTGCCTTCAAAAAGGAGCGCAGAATGTTAAGGTTGTATCTGCAGCCAAAAGGCTTCAACAGTCCCCTACACCACTGCAGTGTTAAAGGTCTTGGTATTATTATTTAACTAGAAGTATGACTAGGATTGGTTTCTACATGCTTTTACAGGTTATAAATATATAAGATAGTCCAATAGCACCACATTGTTCACAGTGCTGGGGAGACACACTTGTGTGTGGGAGACCTCTAAATGGCAATTTTCGGTATTTGATGTAGATTTTGGAACATATCACCACCTACTTCCAGCAACGTGATATTTTTATTTTTCTCACACATGGAGGAGTATGCACTTTATTCCTTTCCACAATGTACATCTAAAATAGGCTTGCTTGGTAGAACAGGGGCAGCTTTTATTGTAAGAGCCTTTACAAAGCAAAAGAACATTTCCACTTTTTCGTTGTGTTAAAGTACTAGATGTTAGTTGTGTTTGCAGCCGTCAGCAGAGATTCTCCTGGTGCAGATATTTCATGTTGTTATGAAGTTCGCAGCATCTCAGAAGTGGAAAACGTTCCTTCATCCGACAAAACATGTAGACAAGATGCATGTAATGCACACATAATCCTGTTGGTGATATAAGCAGAGGTTATGGCAGATTTGAGGAAGCGATGTAGTTCCCAAAAACAAAAAAGGGGAATATCCCAGCTCACACACTGTATTGAATTGCATGCCTTTTCTATAAAAGTACAAATATGGTACTTTCAAAATTATTATCCTTTTGATTATAGCCACTGAACATAGTGAAGAGAGAAGTATTAGATAGTTTCATGAGTACTTCATAAGGAAAGGTATTACACGTGACTGTTCTGGCTTTTTCAGATACAATTCACAGGAACAAACAGTTTTCAATCCTTTGCTTTTAATTTTTTTTTCCTCAGTGGAACCATAGTAATAGATCCTAACTTCTTCCCATGTAATGATTTTTACTGCAGATCTCAAGAAAACCTGCAAGGAAAATGGCACCTGCTCCTTGTGCTTATTCCGTGCACCAACCATCAGTGATATGCTCAATGATGAGGACTTGTTGTACACAGTGAGGCTAAAGCTGGATCCCTGCCACCCAACAGTGAAAAACTGGAGAAATTTAGCAAGCAAGTGGGGGATGACTTACGATGAATTGTGTTTCCTTGAGCAGAAGCCCCAAAGTCCCACCTTGGAATTCTTGCTACGGAATAGTGACCGGACTGTGGAGCAGCTGATTGATCTCTGTAAATTTTATAAGAGAATCGATGTTGTGAAAGTGCTGCTGAAATGGGTGGAGGAGGAATGGCCCAAGAGAGGGAACAGAACTTACCAGAATGACTTGTAGGTGAAAGTAAGTTGTTAGTCCATATGTGTTAAACTCTGGGACTAGCTGCCACTAGTACATGGGAAGTTTCCCTTGCAAGAGAGAGAGCCTGTACTGACGGTTTGTATACTCTGTAAGCTTTATGTACTGTATACACATATATGTATGTTCTGTGCCCTCAGGGTTGCAACAATAACCTTCCAAAAGTGGATGGAAAGACGCAGATTGTGTTCTTGAGTCTATAAATGCCTTCAGTTTCTTTGCTGCTGCTCATGGGCTTCCTAAGCAGAAGAGGCACAAAAAAGCCAGACCGCTGGTTTTACTGCAGCAGTTGTGAACCATGCCAGTGGTGTGCTGTTGCTCTTGGGAAAGCCACAATTAGAAGGCAAGTCTCTTATCCTTTCTGGCAGCCCTTACACAGTTTTATATGTTCTACCTGGTAGAAGGTGAGGATTAGGTGTTATTTTTTTCTTCCCTGCCCCCCCCCTTTTTTTTTTTTTTTTTTTTAAGCATTTAACACTGGTTTTGGCACAGGAACGCCTCAGTGTTGCAAGCAGCAGTTTGGATTTTCATGTTACAATTAATTCAATGTTTCAGCATCACATTGAGGCAAATTAAGCTTCAAATCTCTTTTATAAACAAGAATAGATGTTAAACAAAATTATTTTCATACTATTATGTCATAGGGCATATATTTAGTATAGAAGAAATCATGCAATTCAGAGGGACTTTCCAGCCCATAACCACTAAGGACCAAAAAAACCAATGAAAATGCTTTATACTTAAAATTACTTTCCAAAGTTTTTAAGACAGTGTATACTCTGAGTGCACTTATCTGTTTATCTCAGATGCGTCTTTCTTTGCAGTGTGAGGTGATGGCTAATGCCTCACCCACAATATATCCTTAGTATTGAGTATAACTTCCCTTTTCACAGGCTGTGGTTTTCTTTACAGTCATGTGGGTTGACCTGCTTTGTGTCACACACCAAAGTAGTTGCACACCTGTGTGAAACTAGCACAAGTTTATGTATTGATTAAAACCACTCTAATGGGAGATGATTTAATCTACAGTCCAGGTGGGTGGTTATTGAAGCACTTATGGTTGTTTAGACTGGTGTTTCTCAAAGAATTTTGATACTCTGAATTACACTGTTTACACTTTAAGTATTTTAGAAATTGATCTTTTTTCTACCATTCTTCTGTGTTACAATGTTTTAAAAAAACTCCTGAAAAATCAGTTATACAATATGATGTATAAAGTACTTATAGCAATAATACCACACACAAAGACATTGTAACTTAAAAATACTTCTGGTTGTTACCCTTCCTAAAAGCATCTCAAACAATACTAATATGTACATAGGTGTATATACCAAAACACTGGTGAACAGTATGTCAAGATATGGGGCAAAACTAGAATGGGTTACAGCTTGATGCACTGTTTATTTTTCTCAAGTAGAAATATCTAAGAATTAGTAGCAAAGCTGAGGTAAGTCTAATGCTGTATACTGCGTTTCTTACTGTAAGAGAATGAAAAGGAACCTCTAGTAATACTATACTATAGTGATATTGTTACAGAGGAGCTAGAAGTAAAGACTAACATTTTCAATGTCAGGCACTAGTGACTGGAAGACTGGAATTTTTAATAACTTTTTTTTTTTTTTTTTTTAAAAAACCCAAACATTCCTTAAAAAAGCTGCTACTCCTTAGACCAGTAAGTTTTCTAGCCATGTTTTAGAGAGGAAAGAGTACTGCTGTATCTTGTCAGGGCTACAGTTCAAATGTTTAATGTTGCTCTTCTAGAAACGGGTTTCTTGATTTCTGTCAACTAACTTTTGCAAAAAATCTGTCTTTAGTTAGGAGCTCTAGAATCAGCTCTGGGGACTACTGTTGTGGCTGGGCTGCCTGCTATTTTCAGTTCTTACAGAGGCATCTGTTGCATACGTACAAATAGGTCATTATGCAGCTTGTCCAACATAATCCCCATACCTTGGTCCTACTGTATGCATGATTTAGGATCATGTGTGTCTGTGTGTTAAGTTGTTGTTCTGAGTGATGAGTGCTGGCATGTATGTCAACAGCTTTTGTCTTCCATAACATACCACAGCTGTAGGTGTGTGGTATTTTAGTATGGTCTGCTTTGATAGATCCAGTCCAGCAAGGAGCTGGAGCCCTCACCAAAGACTCACAATGGGAATATGAAATGATTCAGCAGCAGCATTTCTGAATCAAGATGTTCAACTGAAATCTACCCCTTTTCCTCTTTTCTGACTAAAACTTATAAAATTTTGAAGAAACACTGTTGTCTTGTGGAAGTGAGTTCTGATCCCTTGAAGATCTTAAAAAGTCAATGTCAGCTGCAAGGATTCATGTCTGATGGAAATAAAGCTGCTTCTGAGTTCATTGATGGATTCTGTATAAACTCAGCACTGAAGGTTGAAAATGTTGGCCTTAAACTTCATCACACACTGGATTACTTATTAGTATACTTGAAATATTTTTTTTTCCTTTTTGTATGGCATGAATTGAGATGTATACACTTTTTCTAGTTTTGTATCTGTTTATAAGATATTGGGTCCGAGTGTTCGGTTTATTCTTCTATCTTCTGTTATAATGTATACTCTTTTTAGAAGAAATACAGATTGTCAGTGTTTGACTTTATTGTATTTGTTTTTATTACAGCTAGGAAAACAGATGTTTTCCTTCTCACCAGTTACCTTGGAACCACTGAACTATCAACTAGTTGTGCTGTGTAAAAAACATTTTAAATACAAGATTCATGGAATCTTAAAGCACCTATGTTTGCAAGAGATACTGCTGTTCAAGAAAGGAAGATGCACTTTTTAATATTTTCTATATGAAAAATGAGTTAATTTTGATAAGATGATGAACAAAGATGTTTGTTTAGAAACTTGCAGCGGAGTTACTAACTATAGAGAACTATGAAACCTACACTGGGTGAACTCTTCCTGAATTAATAACCGATCTGATAATGAAGGTTAGAGAATCACATGGACACTGAAAAGGCTCTACTAGACTATCAGTTTTGTTCCATTATATCTTTCTCCTTTCCCTTCAGGGTTTTCCAGTTCTTTGGCTGCCATCTTTGTGCCTGCAGGATAATCAGTGGCCCTTCCCACCCACTTTAGCTTCTATGAAGATGTCGAAACCACTATATTCTTTCATTCCTGCAGCTTTATTTAAGACATGATGAGCCTAATAACTGTTCTTCAACAGCAGAGGTACAGTCCTGTGTGCCAGGAGCCCTTAGTTTTGCTGTGAGGTCAACTGTGGAACATCTCCAACAAAATGGTGACAGCATCCACTTGCCTTACTCAGTGCACGCACTTCCCTTTGATCTGTGGGGGGGAATGCAAAATGGGCTTGGGGCTGTCCTTTGGAAGCCTACCATAAAGGATAGGGTAGTTAGCATGGCCCCAGGTGCTTGCTTGGAAATAAGCTTCACAGAAACTAAACCATACTTTTTCCTGAATCACTACTGAATAATGGAGAGCTGTAGTTTAGTCTGGACAACGCTTCATGCAAGAGACTATGTATTTTTCACTCGGTCTCAAACTGACTGCCTCCCATCGTTCCAAGTAAGCTGTTAGAAAGTGGAAAAAAAGTGTAAATTCTGCCTTATGGTGGTTTAAGTTAGGGTAACATTGTTGACTCGTGGCCAGACAAATTTGGAAGTTATTTGTCAGGCAGCAGAATTGTTTAAAAGGTCAAAGTGCATGACATTTATAATAATTTAAAGAGCAGTCTACTTCTGTAATTTTTGCAGCATATTATGTGCTGTGTCCATGAAGGAAAAGCAATTAGTTATTCATAACTATTTCAATATATTTTGTAAGTCTTAAGTTTTGGGTCAGTTCTGAACAGTAGGGCAGAGAACCATTAAATGAGGACTTTGGCTTGTTGCCTGTTTTGGCAGAAAAGTGCTTTTCCTTGCCCCTAAGCTCAGCTACTCCTGATTGCATGGCTATGGTTAGTTATTAGCCTTAGCTGGGTAGGGAAGATATGGATCTACTGGTCAGACAGGCTGCGTAGGAGGAGCACTAAGAGTTTATTTGAAAAGGTGGAGTCTGTAGTATTTGTAAGCCTGTATCTCGGCCATGGACTGGGACTGACTCCATCTTACAAGAAACAGATGGCAAAGAGGAGTTGACAGACCTGGCAAAGGCTTGCCTGTACCCTCTGTTGGGGCGGGGGCAATTAAACAGCCAGACAGACTTAGTAGTTGGTTTGATCTCTATTTTACATTTGTAAAATGGTGATTCGTGATTTCAAAGGCAGGCCATTGGGGGAAATATGTATTTGATACTGTGGTAATGAGTTGCATGAGAATCTTAAATGTGAGAAAGACAAACCAGTGCAAGTCTTGTTAGGATGGGATCAGCAAGGTTGGCTTTTGGCCTTTTCGAACTCCAACATGAAAGAGTATTGGTGTGTTGGGTTTGTTTAGGCTTTATTCACTGGCCTTCACCATGCTATGAAGATGAGAGTTAAAATTGGAGAAGAGATGAGAAAAAAGTAGCTTCTGTCAGAAATAATTGTTGAGAAGCAATGTCTGTGGTGTTAATTCTCTTCTTCCTCTGATGCATGTAAAGAAATAGTTTCCATGACTGAAAATCTTAGTTATTTAGAGCTGCATCTTTCAACTGTTTTTTGAGAAAATTCTAGAAACAAGGCCAAATGTGTTAGTACCTTGGATAATAAATATATTCTGTGTATCTGTGTACAGCATGAGATAGAGAAGCAACATCATGCATCTACACGAAGGTACATTTTTTTTATTACGAGTTTGCTTCAAAATTACCCAATACTTGGTTTGGAAATGCTTTTTGTCTCCAAAAATTACCAAGGTTTCATGTTGTTGATGAAAGAAAACACATTTATACAACTAAAAAGTTTCTTAACAGGAAGAGCCAGGATGTGAATAAGAAAGGGCCATCCGAATCTGTAACAGTAGCAATAATATCTTGAGGCGAAGCTGAGGATTTTTTTTCATGTTTGTGCCCAATATATGTGAGCTTCCCCTACTCCCCTCAACCTTCGGTTCATTCACAATCCCATGAATAGTTTAGTAGATTTTTTTTGTCCTAATTTACTTTTGTCGATACTTTCTCTGAAGCTGAGGAGCTCACCAACTCAAAGGTCTATTAAAAGCCTATTTCCCTGTAGCCATCAAGAAACACCTACCACCTTGTGGTGAGAGGTGATACTATAGCCCTCACTTTTCCCTTGAAAATGCAGCAACGCTGAGGGCAAGCGAGCCCGTCTGTAGCTGCAGAGACCCAGCAGGGATATCCAAAGGCAACTGCGGTGGGGATGATGGTGTAGCTAAGGTGCGAAGGTGTAGTCCTGAGGATCTTGGGTTTGGTCACAGTCTCTAGTTTGGAGAACATCACACATTTTTTTGTTTTGCACAGATGCGTGGTGTTTCTTTTTTTTTTGTCTCCCTAGCTGGATAAGGACTGAGACACTATGTATGTGTAGACCATGACATGATCATCTACTGAGGGGGGCAGACAGGGCAGGTATAGGCACAGGACTGCTCCAGTATCTATTGCAATGCAAATGAAGAAGTGATCCTGACTACTTTCAGAATCCTAGAGCATTGTGTCACTGATTTAAAAAAGAAGGGACGAGTATGTTTTAAGGGTTATATGGCCTATAATTGGTTTTCAAGAGGGCTGGTGACTTTTCTGTCACTCATTTGTCCTTTGGCCCTCATCTGTATCTTGTTTACTCTTATGCTTCTTTTCAACCTTTCGCTTTAAAAAGCAGTCACTGCAACAAAAAAATAGACTACTTACTAGTTTCTGAAGAAGCAGTAACATTTTAAGCTTTTGAATGGGTAAGCCAAATTAAAAAAAAAAAACAAAAAACAAAAAACAAACAACCTTTTTATTTTGTTCCCTGTGATTTGTAAGATTTGTGCTTTTAGGCTTTAAACTGAAAACTGGAAGATCTGGAGCTAAGTATTGACCTATCTAGGAAGAGTTAATGGAAGGCCACTGATTAACTTGTAACTAAATAATAGCTGAACCAGCTGGGCTGTCAACTGAGATTTTAATGTTGGTGTACCAGGAAGTGGTGACTCATGTGCACTTTGAATCTGAAGCCTTTCAAAGAAGCTAGGGGAATAATTTCAGAAAGTGCTGTAATGCACAAACAGCTCCACTAAAGCTATGGAAGACACAACATCAGGCTTTTCTGCTGAACAGTACAGTGTGTCAGAGGCTTCACCCCTGTAGCCTGTACTACTCTATTAACTAGGGGAAGAAATTAGTTATTCTGGTACCACACGACAATATGAAAAAGATTAGCTGAGTCTTCCACTGGGCAGGTTTCTTAATGGGGGCCTAGTAACTTACTTTGCCTCACTGCAAAGCTAGATTATGTATCCGTCAGCTCTGGGTGAGGACAAACAAACTTCTCATAACCCATATTTTCGATCTGCTACCAGCCTGTTAAGGACTCCGACGACACCTGCAGAGAGCCATTGAGTTTATTAATATTGAATGGTCATAGCGATATGTACAGTGAGGAGAAGCTTCTGGTTCTGGATAGGATTTTTCTTGCAGGATGGATATTCAGGAAATAATTCATTAAAATATACTACGTGCTGCCATGGATCGTGTTGTGGAGGCCCAAAAGTGGTGTCATTGACCTAAAAATAAATTGGGAAAATCCATGGTCTGCTTATTCATTCAGACAGATGGTGCAATTGTGGCCTCTGGCCCAGAAAGTCTGAAACAGATGATGGTCAGAAGCCGAGTGGGTTGTACTGTGCGCTTGCCTCAGCCCTCACCCTGCTCCTGTACGCTGCTCATGATGGCCAACTGTCCGTACTGGTCACGGCTACGTGACCCTTTGACTTGGTGTGGTACAGCCGGTTTTGTCGCTACCAGACCACAGATGTCTTGTGCTAACCTCAAAAGAACAGCAGTGGTTAGGAAGCTGTTTTGTCACTGTATGCATCAGAAAAAAGGACGAATGTAGCCAGTGGGGGAGCCAGCCTTGTCCCTAAAGTCAGCATAACTTTGGGCTTGGGTACATAGGCTAGGAAGAAAAGTAAATAAGCATATCTGAACACTGAGAAACCACAAGTAACCTCTTACAGAAAGTGCTAGATAGGGCTAAAAAAGGAAAAGCAGCCTGTTACATAAAGAGAAGAATGTTGTTTTGTATGGTGGAGAGGAGGAAAGTTAAAAAGGGACCCATGAGGGGTTTTGAAGTGTGTTTATTTGTGTCAAGTCTAGGGGCTTTTTTTTTTTCAAAATAGCTCACCATTAATTGGTGAAAATTTTATAATTGGAACTGTGTGTAAAATAATGGTAAAATACCCTAACCTTGGGCCGTGACTTGCTGCCCTGGGAGGTGCGGGTTGTAGGCTGGGAAGCAAGGACAGGGGGTCTGCTTAGGAAGTCTCCTTCGAGGAGGCAGGATAACACGTAACCATGTAGTGTGTGGCAGTCGGGTGGGAAGCGGGAGGAACTGGAGAGCGGGAGCGGGTGGCTGAACGGCAGCGAGCGGCTGAGGCGGCTAGCAGAGCCCGAGCGGCACAGGTGCACGCGGGTAGGGCAGAGCAGCTCGTTTCTTTTTTTTTGTCTCCCAGGAAGGCACCAGCCCCTACGGTGGAGAAGGGTGGGTGTGAGGTGAGGTGGTTGTGGCAGGAAGGAAGGAGCAAACGTCGCAGCTCCTTTAGCGAGAAATTGCAGGAGAGCTCGAAATAGATCTTGGTTGTACTCTTCTTTTTCTAGCCAATAAAGTGGTGTTTGTTAAGCCACCTGACTGAATATGTGAGAAGGGGTTAGAAAAAGTGCCCGGTCATCAATTTAGTTCAATTTTTTTGAGTGAACTTTAACTGTGACTAGCGTGGCTTGTGTTGTGGTCGGAAGCTTACACTGCAGCACGCTACAGTTACAGGGGTGATTGTACCCATCAAATTCAGTTCTGCCGACAACAGACTCCGCAACCACAATGTTTATTTAAACTAAAAATCGAGTGTTAGCATCCGACTCGTTCACAGAGATCCAACGTCCCTGCGCGAAACGGTGCCGGGGAGGCAGCCGCCCGCCCTCGGCCGCAGCTCCCCTCGGCGCCGGGCCGCGGGGCGGGGAGGAGGGACCACGGCCGCGGCCGGGCGCCGCGCGGGGCCCGCGCTGCGCGGTGACGTCGGAGGCGGCCGGAGGGCGCGGGGCGGGGCGGCAGCGGGAGGGGGGGATGGCGGCGCCGGGCGGCCTCGTCCCGCGGGTCAGCGGGCGCTGCTAGTCACGGAGGTACGTTGTGCCGTTAGGGAGGGAGCGTCCCGTTAAGAGGGGGAGCGGAGGGCGAAAGCGGGAATAACCCCGCCGCGTGCCTCAGCCTGGCGGGGAGAGGGGCCCGGCTGAGGGAGGCGCTCCGCGGAGCCGGCTGCAGCGGCCGGGGTTTCTCGGTGAAAACTCGTCCTGTGCCCTTCTGGTGGGTGTAGTGCTGGGCTGGTAGCCGGGGGCGGGGGGACGGCACTGGGATTTTGTGCTTTAATTGCTCGCAAACGCTCAGAAGGTATCTCGCATATTCCTTTGGCAGAAGTCTTGTTGGCCTTGGTGAAAAAAATCTGGTTTGCGTTATAAAGTCTAACGCGAGTTTTCCCCCATGAAAGACGTTTTCTGCATGTCACAGTGAGATAGCATAATAGCTGGTGGTTGGCCTTCCTATTTTCCTGTTTTGTTTTTATAGAAGAGTTGTTTTCTTTACAATGTGTGAGGTAACAGGAAAGTGTACATATCTTTTTTAAGTTCTAAATGTATGGTCAGGAAACTAACGTAGTGTTCCAGGTTTAAGATTTGGTGTAACATGTGCTGACAGTGGTTCCTCTGAGACAAGGTTACAGAAGAACCTTGCAGTTGCATGCCCCTTGTTTTATCAAACAGAGCCTGAATTGCAGCCTTCTCTCATTATTGTGACCTTTTCAGTAAAAAACTAATAACCGAACAAAAGAGTCTTCAGCCCAGATTGCTGTTGCACACCCAGGGAAGTTCAGTTAGCAGGCTGCTGGACACTGGGTTGTAGGTCTGGGTTTCTTTTTTTGGGTATGCTATTGGACTTTCTGATGCTAAAGGCAGAATTATTGTTTGCTTTGGTCTTGATTTCCTGCTCTTTAAAATGAAAACAATGAAATTTGCCTGCCTTTGCACATTCCTGTTGTGAATTGAAGGTGGTATGTCATGAGAAGATTAAAGGGGCAAAACAGTTATGCAGCGTAGGCATGTTATGTTCTCTGAACTGCGTTCTAGACCCTAGTCTTATCTAGGGGACCTTCTGGTCCATATCTCCCACAAGCTAAGACAAATGTTGCAATGGGCCACTCTCTTGAATTACTGCAGAGGATTAACCCCAGGGCCCTGTGGAACAGGCCACAGAGCTTGGGTTTTTGGTTTCGTGGTAGGTTTTTGTTTGTTTGTTTGTTTTTTCCTTCCAACGCTGCTAGCAGTTATCACACAGTAATGATGCTAGAACCATCTCCTTTGACTTTTTCCTTGTCTGCCTGTCATTGCCATACAGTTTGCATGCTATCTTAAGTTGTTTCATTCAGAATGTGGAAGAAATAATTACTTAATAGTTTCAGTTGGGCCCTGAATTTTGGTAACTTCATTAGAAGATTTGCTAAAGAAATTACAGTGTAGCTGGATATGCTCACATGCTGTTGTTTCATCTTAGTAGTACTGTGCGTTTAATGCAAGTTTTACAAACTCCTGCAGTTATTTGTGGAATTCAGGGGTTGTGTGTATTGGAGGAAGAAATGTAAAACGCCTTTTCCTTCCCTGCTGTGTCTTTGCCTTGTGTCTCAACTTTATACAAGATAAAACTGGAAAAAGCAAGTTCAGCCCCTAGGGCTTGTCCGCCTTGGGAAATCTGGGGGGATAGCATGAAAAATGTTAAAGGAAACAAAACTGGCTGTTTGCCTTGAGAAAATTGCTTTTGTACTGTGTATCTTTTCCCTGTCTGCAGGCAGGGGTCAGCTGCAAATGGAGAGCTATTTAGGGCCCAGCTGAGGAGCACTGAGTTATCAGTGTTCCCGTGTACAATGATTATTTTTACATTGGATTCTGTCTCAGTGTATGTGATCTGAAGCTGCTGATGACATTGTGTACCTGTGTGCACCGTCCCTTGTTAGAGTGGCAACTTACTTCTTTAAGCAAGCCTTTCATTTTCATATTTCAAAACTCCAGCAAATTTCTTGGAAAGGGGAGATATTTGCATCACTTATCGTGCTGTTTAAAGTTTATACCTTGGAGGCTTTCACTTCATGTAGTGCCACTTTGTTTCTTTCTAATTAAAAGTTTTGGGGTTTTTTTGAAGGGATCCCTCGTTTAGTGCTGCCAGACCAGTGTGTCCTGTATATACGCTCCAGCAGTGATCACACAGAGCTGACAAACTTAAACTGGAGGAGGAAAGATGATGTCCTTGGATGGACCGCAGAAGACAGTCAGTAACCCGGTAACTCCTGTCATGTCAACAATTTCTCCCTTGGGAAATGAGACTTTGCTGTTTTATGTCAATAGTTAGTACTCGTACTGTTTTGCACAGTGACGGGTTGTTGTGGTTTGAGCCCAGAGGACAACTGGGCACCAGGCAGCTGCTCGCTCGTTCCTTCCTCCTCAGGAATGGGAAGGAGAAAATAAAACAACTGATTTTGCACTGAATGCGAAGTGGTTAGAGTTAGGGATGATGGGGGAAAAACTTCAACCTTCTTCACAAGAACCAGCTGGGAGAGGAAGGAAAGCTATGTGGAGATCACCTAGCAGGTGGAAGGACTGAACTGCAAAAGGAAAGGAAAAGTGAACGTTAGTAGGTGGGGATTTTGGTGAGAGAGGATGTGTGAGGAGAAGGATCAGGAGGTGTTTAGGACAAATATTCTGTGTAAGGGAGTGAGTTAAGCAAAATTGGGTGGTTGCAAGGGGGCTGGTGAGTATAATGGGTGACAACACCAGGCTGGAGAATATAAAGGAGTAAACTAGGATTAAGGGCTCAAGAGCCTAAGGTGGGAATAAGAGTGAGTATTTGGGGTTGGAATGTGGAGGCAGAGTTGGGAAAGACTGTGCTGGTGACCTCAGGAGAGCCTTCAGACAAGGCCATGAGCCATCTACTCTATCTGACCTTGCTTTGATCAAGGCACTGGGCTAGAGACACCAGAGGTGTCTTCCAGCCTCAGCCCTTCTGTGATTCTATCACCTGTGTGATACCAGAAGATGAACTTAGGGATGGAGAAGGGCAGGCTATGAGGATTTCACTATTTCAGCAAATTGTTCCATGAACAGCCAAACTTAGGAGCTCTATTACAGGTTTGAGGTTTGAGTCAGATGTATTTCTTTACTACTGAATCATCCAGAAAATTCTGCTTTTCTCTTTATGCCCTTTGCTCCACCCATCTGGCAAGAAATGGTGTCATGCCCTGTCTGATGGGGCAGCTGTCCGCTACCCAGCAAGCTGGATGAAAGCTGTATTATCACAGTCCTTTCCTCTGTAAGACCATGATCTGTCCTCTTGTTTTATGAAAACTGGCATATATTAGAAAGACCTTGATCTCCGAGACCTCTCAAACTCAGTTGACATTGTCCAGTTGACTTCAGAGGTAATTTTTGGAGGTCTGGAAGAGAGCTGGGGATGCTGGTAGATCATGTGATATCACCACCATTACTCTTAAATGACAAAAAATAAAAAAATCAGTGGAAGAATGTCTTGAAACATGAGGAAATCACAGGCACACTCTGTGATGACAAAACCTTATGAAGTCTGTAGTGTTGCACCCAGGAAATGCTCTATTATGGCCTTGCAGATTCCACGTCTGAGCTTTGGAAGAGTTGATGGGCCAGTCTTCTTTCCTCTTAAATAAATTCATTCTTTTGAATGTAAAGAAGTGTTTTTGCCACAGCTTCTCTTCCAAGGGTAAATAACTTTGATCCACTAGAATGGCATCCCTGGCCTGTGTCTGTATGTTTCTCTGGTTCGTCTTTGAAGACTGAAACAGTAATTTATTACTCTTTTGCATTACTCAGAGCTGCTACCCCTCAGGAGCAGTGTGCTAAAACTAAAATAATCATGTTTTTTCTTACTTACTATTGTTGCTTCTATTCTTTGAATGAAAAATGAGCCTCTCGTGTACAGCTTGTATAATAAGGAACCAAGTAAGCAAAGGGATTTCAGCCTATTTATTCTTTCAGTTTTAACATTTAATTTCACATTTTTGTGCTCCTCTGCTGCACCTGATTAAGCCCAGAAAAATATACAAGACTTAAAACAACTTGACTGAGACTTAGAACAACTTGATCATTTGTGAGCTGATGCTTGAGAAGCAAGTTCTTTAAGTCTGTTTTGCCTGATGTAGGAGACAACTGCAAATTAGGTTTTGTGCAACATATGGGTGGCTGAGGTAAGAAGTGGAGTGAGGGTAGAAAAGGGTGTGTATCTACTGGCAGAAATGAGCAACACTCTGGATATAATAATTTTTACTGTCATTCCCCTTTTCTTCCTCAAGAGGAATATGTGTCAGCAAACATATTCCCTTTTCATGTCTTCCTGTTCTACATGATGATATATATATATACTGCATGCTGTAGGTAGTATAAGGACTGAGGCCCTTGAACAGGGGTATTTCAGTGCACCTTGCAGTTCTTAGCTCACTAGGATGAGGTATTTTGTTGTGTTTGTTGTGTAGTTTTTACTAAGACAACATTCTGTGACATAGTCTCTTCTTTTCCCATCACTGTTTTCCAAAATGGAGCAAGAACAAGCAAAAAGGCAGCTGCTCTAGTCTGGGATCTGTGTTGTGGAAGGTGCCTCCTGCTACCAGCAAAGGGCTGATAATAGTCGGCCCTTGGCAATGACCTAATTTGAAGTGAATCCTCTTTATTAAAAGTGAGGCAATAAAATACTAGCACTCTTCATTTGAGAGCTAGGAATGGAGGCTGGAAATTTTAGTTTTCATTTTGTCGAAGAAGCCTAATTTTCTTAAGTGAAAATCTGCTCAGTCTTTCCTTCCTGTTGTGGGTATTTAGTGCTTTTTTTATTATTTCTTTTAAATGAAATGCTAGTTGTGTTTCTTTTAATGTGCTAGAGCACCACATAATTAAGTATTAGAATATTATTTTTAAAGCTACTGTGTTGGGTTTTGCCTCCATCACAAAATGTTATTTGAATGTTTTCTTTTTCTTTTTTTTTTTTTTCCCACCCCCTCTTTTAGACCATTCCGTATGTTGGGACGATACGTGGTGGCCTTGTTCCTGGAGAGCTGATTGTGATACATGGGACTGTTCCTGATGATGCAGACAGGTAGTGGCTAGTGTCACTTTTTGCAGTGTCGCCATGTGAACAAGAATGTAATGGAGAAAATGTTTCCAGGAGTCCTACTTATGATGGTACACAAAGGCTTGATCTAAATCCTTGTGATAGTGTCAGAGTGGATACAAGCTTAAGTAGTTAATGAAAGCTTTGTGATGAGAAATGGAGGATGAACTGATTTTTTTGCTTTCTGCTGAACCTCTTTGCTTAGCCAATTTTTGTTCCTTGTTATAGCATATGTCTCCTTGTCTAAAGAGGTTATCTGAGACTAAAAAAACTAATAACTGAATGTGTTGTGTGAAGGAACTAGCTTAAACTGGGATAAGGAGGTATGAATTAGTGCACGTGCCTAGTACGGGGACTCTGTTCCCTGTCTTTGCCCAGGGTTCATTTAGTTATTCTGCTGAAGATAATGGGAGGGAAGGTGGTGAGCACAGTAAGTGAGGAGCTTACCTTTCACGGATGTGTAGGAGTTGGACAAATACATGTTTGATTTTTTAACTTATCCAACAACACTCATCCTGTCTGCCTGTTGTGAGGCTCCACAGTAAAACACAAGTGTATTGAAGTTTTAGGGGATTTCTTGACAGACTGATCTGAATGTGATTTGTCTTATGATTAGGTTTCAGGTGGATTTACAGTGTGGCAGCAGTGTAAAGCCTCGAGCCGATGTGGCGTTTCATTTCAACCCTCGCTTCAAAAGGTCCGGCTGCGTTGTTTGCAACACACTGGAAAGGGAAAAATGGGGCTGGGAGGAGATCACTTATGAGATGCCCTTTCAAAAAGGGAAGTCATTTGAGATTGTCATCATGATTTTAAAGGATAAATTTCAGGTGAGTCTGAGTTGATTCTTTATCTGTAGCCAGTTGTCAGGTCAATTAAAGGGAGATGTTTTGTATACTTACAATAAACAGTTGAAAGCCTTGGTTTCTCTGTTACCTAGGTGTAGTCTAACTACAGAAAAGTTTAGAAGCTTTTCTTTAAAGAGGTGCTAAGTAAATCAGACCCTCAATTTTGTATTGCTTTCCTCTAAGTTGGGTGAGTAGGCAAGTAACTTCCTGCCGTGGCTAATGGCTACTCCACCCTTCCTATCTTAGTGCAGAGGCCTGACCTTAGGATAAACCTGTTTTGTGGCTAGTGTAGGACAGTCCTTTTGGAGGAAACATGTGAGGTATATTTGTCGTGCTCTGTTAGACTGCAGTGATAGATTCTATTAGGTTGGTAATAACAGGTTGGTAAATGGCCAGGTGATAGAAACAAAAGGTGTAAAATGCAAATAAATCTCCTTCATAGTGATGGAAAGTGGGCTGAACTTAGTTGCTCTGAAATTTCTAGGATGCGTCTTGCTCCTGTACCAAACCAGTGTAAAACAGGGATACATGCATACAATTTGGTACATGGCTGATGTGATGTATGTTTAATACAATTCTCCTGTTTTGTTTCCTGTCTCTTTAGGTGACTGTAGACAAGAAGCACTTGCTGCTCTACAACCACAGAATTAGCCTTGAAAGAATAGATACTCTTGGAATATATGGCAAAGTGCAGATCAAAACTATAGATTTTGTTTCTAATGTAAGTTACATAGACAGCTGACTTGTTTGATTCTTTTTCTCTGTCTTGCTAAACTACAGAGTAGGATTTATGGTGAAAAGGAAGTAAAGAAAAGCAGCTACACAGTCTAATGTCAGTGATGAGGTATTTTTTTTCCCCATATTTCAACACGCAGGTCTCATGTGAGGATCTCTGTCTTCCTGTTTTAGTCTTGATGTTAGGGGCTAAAGGGTGACAAAGTTTACAGCTTGCAAAGTTAACAGGGCAGACGGTATAAGAATTGATTGGATACTGGATCTAGGAATGGATTAAACTTTTCAACTATTGCAGAAACTCCAAAATGAACTCTCAGTATTCAGTGCTTCTAAATGACAAATGACTTGTTGCTTGGCTTCCCAATGCCAAGTTCAGCCACAGCTGGAACTGCTTGAGCACATAACCCTGTTTTTCTTGCTAAAATGACTGAATTGTTGAATGAATTGGTAAGTAGGAGAGTACCTTTGTTTCTGAGGGGCAAGGTGTCCTTTTTCAAAGACTTTGTGGCTTGATTTGCATTTGGACCAAACTGCAGTGAATTTAAAGTGAAGGCTCTTCCTGTGCTTCCTCTCAGCTGCCAGCCTTGCTAGAGAAAGTAAACCAACAGGGAGGAGTTGAACAATGTTTTCCCCTGTTCAGAAGGAGAGATCCTTCTGCTCTGGAAGGGTGAGTCTTTTAGAGTAGAAATGGAAAGTGATCAATTCCAGGCAGGTACAGAAGGTGAATGCCTTTTCCCTTTTTTCCTGCTATTCATTACACAGGAGTAGAGAGGCTGCCCTAATGTTCTGGATCTCTTCTGCCCCATCCTCTATACATTGTGGGCAAAGCACAGGTCTCTTGCTGCCAAACATCAGGTCTAAATCAGGTCAGCAGACTAACAACTCTGTTGATAGAAGGTGGAGATCTGGGCCTGAACGGAATAGGGCCTAAGCTTTAAAGATAGGTCTACTCACTGATGATTTGCAAAGGCTAAGGGCCCCATCAGTTGGCCTTGGGCATGTTGCCAGAATAATATCCAAAGCTGTCTGAGCCCTGGTTTTGGAGGACTAACTCTGAGAAGAGCTTGGGAACAAGCAGGTGCTGTAGTTTGGTTTCTGTCCCAAGCAGAAAACAAGAGAGAGTTGCTTTAGTCTGTGGTTGCCGATGCTGTATCCTTTGGGGAAGAAAAGAATGGAGAAGGATGATTGTTCCCTTTTTGTCTTTGCTGCTAATATACCCTTCTGAGGAGGATGGAAGCTTGTATTGAAATAAACAAGCTGAAGACACAGTCTGCTGGGGCTATGGTCCTGTTGCTCATCTGCCCTTCCCATGGGAAGGGACAGGGATGCAAGGGGCTGCTTAGAATCCCAAGGCCCCCTGCCTGGACCTGCCCTGCTGGTATTGCTACCCCAGTGAGGAAAGCTCAGTGAGTCCCTGCAGATGCTGAGGGCTTAACAGTCCTCTGTTGAATAAAGACCTGAACTGTAATGAGGTGGTCTTTAGAAATCTCAATTTGGCTTCAGCAATTGGTCTTCAGGACTTTTCCTTGGTTTGCAGGGCTTTGGCTATCTTTTTATTTTACCATAGCCCTAGATTTCAGTGTTAACAGTTCACCCTTCAAATCAGCACAGATCTTTGTATGGTTCTAAACCAACTTTATGTTAAAGTTCTATGATGTTAGCAATGACATCCAAATATCTCTTTCTCTGCAGTCTTTACAAGGCTCTCAGCCATCACCTCTAGGAGTAACAAAGATAAACACAGAAAATGTACGTATGTTTGTAAAAGGTTGAATGAATCTCCCTGTTGTCTGATAAGCTAGTTAATGTTGTTTGTTTTCTCTTGCAGGGAGAAATGCCAGATGGTTCACAATTTGTAAGTGTTTCATGTAGACTTGTGGCAAATGAGAAGAGTAAAAAAAAAAAAAGAAAGAAACAAAAACATCTCAGTTATTCATGAAAAAACATGCACAGAACAAGGGAATTAAGAATCTACTGGGAGATGATAATCAGTGAGGTTTTGCAGAGAGTAATCTTTTTTGCTGCTGGAAGTAAAAGTGAAACTATTTGTTAAATCATTTAGAAAACCCAAAAGATAAACACAACATCCATGGCCATAAACAGAGAAATAAAAAGTGATGTACCTGAAGTTTTAAAGGACCAAGTCACATTAAAGACTTTTTTCAAATAAGCCTACTTAGTTTTCTCTAAGGGAAAACCTGCAAACCAAAAGTATTCTGTAGTCATTACGCCAACTGGCCTTACCTTAATGTGCATATCTCAGAACCTGTCTGGCTACATCTTCCTCTTGCTGACAGATCCATGCTTATCCTGAATGCCCTTCGGGTGGCTGGGTGCCAGCATTGCACCTGAGGTTTGGCACTCACACCCAGCTAGCATGGGGCATAGTCAGAGGGAGTGCTCAGCTTTTTGCAAAAACCTGTACAGCTGGACAGTATCCAGACAGGACTAAGGACCACACTCAAACTGGAAAGGGGTTGGAAGCCAGGAATATATACAGATAGACTTGGGGGAGAAGGTGAAGTTGCAGTGAGTGCCATGATTTTAGTTGCCTTGTCACTTAACAGTCTGCCTTGTTCAGTCGTCTTTTCCAAACCAAATAACATGCAATATTGTCATTTCCAAGTGGTGGACTTGAGCAAAAAAATAAAGATGAAGTACTTCTCCATTCCCCCTTTTCTCCTCATCACAATAATTTCTAACACAACAGAAAAAAAAAAAAAGGTAGATAAAATACTTGCACTATCTGCCATTACGAACCAGTGCCAGGAGGACAGAATACTTGGTGACCCTACTTCTAGTACTTGTGCAACTGTGGGACTACACACCTAGCATGAGTCTTACTCTTTAAAGCATAACTGAAGCTTTCAGAGAGGAGAGGTCAGGATGTCTGTATCTGAATTACTATGTGATAGACATTTAAATTGGTGTGGGGAGTTTTGTGCTTACTTCCACCCCACCCTGCCTCCTTAGAACATTAGTGTTTGCTGAAGTAGTTGCAAGTAGTGTTTATTTTGAACCCCAGGTGGTAGTCTAAAGGAAAAAAAACCCAACAGACTGATATGTTTATCTCAATATAAATTTTCCACTATAGTACTAGTATTCCAGAACATGTTGGTAGGAATAACTTTAGCTGTAAGTACAGATTTGCAATTGTAGGCCAAATTTCTTTCTGCTATAGTAAAGTTCAGCTTGTATATTGAAAAAAATAAGTCACAATCAAAATTTTTACTGGTGGTGTACTTCCAGGGAGTTCCTTACTTTGGGAGACTTGATACTGCACTTCGTCCAGGATGCACAGTTGTCATTAAAGGAGAAGTGAATAAAAACGCAAAAAGGTAAGTGTTACTGAATTTTTCTGCTATTTAACTGAGCTGCTCTTGAGAATGAGTAGGTTTTTCCATTGCCTCAGTATATCCTTACTCACTTGCAACTTTGCATCTGGAATCACCTGAAACTACAGTGGAGTTTTCTCAGGAACCTGCAGGATACTGCTTTAGAGAGGACATAAAAGAGCAGCTCCATTGTTGAAAGTGAAGGTAAATCCCGAGTGTCTTACCTACTAAATCTGCATCATTCACAAGATTATGTGTCTGTTCAGGGTTTTCACTGTGCAAAGCATGGGAGTGCACACGCAGTACAAAGACAGCTTTTATTGTAAAGAGGTCCAAGAGTAAGGGAACTGGCAGAAGCAGATGGAAAATGGGTTAGACGAGTTGCTGGTGTGCTCAAATGCTGCATGTCACGTTTCTCTGTATACTTCTTGGATGGAGTCCTTGGGGACTGTATAGGCATGAAGGTGCCTAACAGACAACAACTGAATGAGGAAATCTGATAGAGGAGTATGAGCTATAATTTTGATAGCAAATTAGGAACAAGGGGTTGCGGAGAAGACAATTTCCCAATGTGATTTAGTGAGGAGGGGGTGAGAAAAGGGAGTGCAATACAGTCAAAACGGAGCTGAGGAAGTGTCTGTGCTTCAGCATGCCCTTTGCTTGAAGGGTGGTTTTGGCTCTGCAGAAACATGCCTAAAAATGAAGCAATTAGTGTAAATGATGAGAAGCGTGCTTTTTTACCCTGTGTGTATGCACAGCTCTCCTGCTTCCTCAGAGCACTTACCTTCCCTGCAGCTGAACAGCACTGAGAATTCATATCAATACTGGAAGCAAAGCTCTAGAAATCTCATCAACAAAGTTTGAATGGACTTTAAATTGGACAGAATAATTAATACATAGACAGTAGCATTTGTTTTTCTTCTTTTGGCTTGTCAAAGCACTGCAGGTTGTCTGCTCTTTGTGCTTCTGCTTTTAAACGTATAGATTTTTATAGAGTTTGTAAGTTATTTAATGTTTTTCACTCGGTTCATGCGGTTGTAGATGTTCCTTTTTCTCAGTGAAAAAGAGGACTTCACAGCTTGGAAGTGTGGCCGTTGCTGTATTTTATACCTGGAGTAAGCAATTCTAGGCTTCTCAAAGGAGGGAAATAACCTGACAGCTGGGGTTGGCTGAGGGGGGAGGATTATTTCTTCTTCAAATGCAGTGGGGTCTTTGCCACAGGTAGAAGCATTCATTTGAATTTGGGTGACCATTCTAATCACTCTTCTCCAGAGCTCCCCTTTAGGAACCTCCTGTGTTGTAGACATGTCTGAGATTGCAGAGTATTCATTCAGCCTGGGCAGAGCTACCCTGCCTACAAAGTAACACTTTATGCATGGTCTCCCACCAATCTTAAAACTATGGAGAGAATACTCAAACTTTTCCTTAGAGTCTAACCAGTTTGTTGGCAGAAAGAATAGAATGTCTTCAGGTAAAACAAAGCCTCCCACTCCCCACTGCTTGAGTTAAGAGAAAGAGATGGAGCAAGTAACACCATATGTTTCTGTGAGAATGCTGCTTCCTAGTGCTGTAGGGGAGCAGCTCTTGGCCCACTTGGCTCCTTGCTGAGACATGAACAGAAAGCTGTGAGTGATGAAGCAGAACTAGCCGGATCATGTTCTACATTTGCTGCCTTCAGCAAAGGTTTCTTTTTGAAGGAGACAAGTGCATGTTAACTGCCTGCTCGGTTCTTCAGGTGAATTACAGTCCTGGCTGCAGAAAGTTCTGAGTGTTGGCTAAGGACCTGGTAAATACCATGGACTACTGCCTCATGTTTATAAACCCTTGGTATTGTAAACTTTTAAAAAATATCTTTCAGCTTTGCAATAAATCTGAAATCAAGTGACTCAAAGGACATTGCATTACATCTGAATCCTCGAGTGAAAAATAAAGTTTTTGTAAGAAACTCATACCTTCATGACAGCTGGGGAGAAGAAGAAAGGGAAATTGCCAACTTCCCTTTCAGTCCAGGGATGTACTTTGAGGTAAGATTAACTGAAACAGCATCAAACTGGTAACTGTCACAAGGATTAGCAGTCACACTTAAATGTCATGCTGTTAACACAGATTTAAGTAAAACTTCCTGCCATTTCTGCATTTCAATGTCTTGAGAATATTTAGGATTAAATGGGACCATAAGGAGCAAAGCTTTGACCTGGTTTTCATCACAGTTTTGTTTTTAAGTAGTTCCAGGAATTCAGCCTGTGCCCAGAACGAATTTTAGTTGAGTTGAGTTGGGCTCGGTGATCCTTATGGGTCCCTTCCTACTTGAGTTATTCTATGAAAAAGGAAATGATTTAGCTCATTCCAATTGCACGAATTTTATTGAAGTTCCACTTGTTAAAATGTTTCTTTTGCATGAAACATTCTTGGTAACAGAATTAGGGCTTGCCCAAGTCTAGGCTGGATCATCAAGTGGTTTTTTTATGTCATACCTGAGTTTAAAACTTAACTGTTTCTCTTCTTCCTTTTCAGCTGATCATTTTCTGTGATGCCCACCAGTTCAAGGTTGCTGTTAATGGTGTTCACACGCTGGAATATAAGCATCGATTTAAACAGCTGGGAACGATCAACATAGTGGAAGTCACGGGGGATGTTCAGTTGTTAGATGTGAGGAGCTGGTAGTTCTTTTCGATCGGTACTAAATGAATGAAACCTCTCCTACTGACAGTGCCTCCTTTGTCAAATACAAGCAGGCACTGACTCATACTCAGCCTGCCTTTATCTATCTAGGCTTCTGTGTCTGCTGCTCTGAGCTAGGTGGGTACCAGAACTGCTAACTGCGAGGTTAAATCCTCTAGTTTACAGTATTGTGGCAAGCTAAATAAGTGTTTGCTGAGATAAGTCTCCCATACTACTGAACCTAGCAATATGGAAACGCTGTGTCATACTGTGTCTGACAACTGCACTCAGTATGTTTAAGTTCAACTACTCATCAGCATTCCTTGATAGCATACATTCAATATTGTGAAGTGGAAACAAGACTGAAATAGGCTCTGAAGATATGGTTAACTACCCCAAAAGTGACACTGATAATTAATTTAAAATAGGATTATGAAATATATTCTTCTGCTTCCTAGTGTATATTAGGAGCTCTAATCTTTTTCCTGAGGCTGGATTAAGCAAACAGTTGACCTATCAGTTTTAGCAAAAGTCAAGGAGGAATTTGATCTTCATAGCCTGCTGCTGGAGCAGTAGCTTCTCTGACACTCATGTCACCTCCTGCTTATAAGTAAGTGGATTAAATCAAACATACAATAGCACTTCTATCTTTCCAAAGTGAAACAAAGGGAAATGATTTAGCTCATTCCAATTGCATGAACCTTTGAAAACTTGCTTGATCTGAAATGGCTCTTACCTGAGTTGAGATTGCTTGGAGACTGAAGCAGATGTTTTTCATTTTTAAAAATGTGTGAACCTGGGTATTCCAACTGAGACGAGACTTGGATACTCATCAGTGGAGTAGAGAATGAATCCTTTTTCAGTCTTGCATTAAAATACTATCTATCTGAAACAAGCTACTCCTATTCCATGTTTTCTGTACAAATGTCAGTCTTAATTTTTATACTATTTTTAAAAGTTGCTACTGGCTGTCCATGCATGCCTGAGGGATATTCCTCTTTATCTTAACAGCTGCTAAAAGTGAAGCAATTTCAAGAATAAGATGTGTCCTAAAAGACTGTTTGAGATAAATTACCACACTGAATGTTTAAAAAGCATAAATAAAATTATCTATGAACTCTGCTTTTCTTCAAGTGGAGCTAAGTAGCTGTGATTCCTTTGCGGTCTGTATTTTCTCGTTTCACTTATCTTACCTGTATCTTCAAGCTGGCATAGTGAATCACGACTGGAGGCCAGTTTCACATCAAGGAGTGAGTTAGTGCCACAGACCAGTTTGACCATGCTGGTGTGGGCTTCCCTTGGCTGCTGGATAGATGGAGCTGGCTGATTTTAACATAGGAGCTGGTAAGCGGCTCCCCCTCAGTGAGGGCAGTTATACCACTTGTGTGTCCTTGCCTTTATCTAAGAGTTCAGCAGGGAGTTGTCTTGTAAATATCATTTTTGTTTGACAGCCAACATGCTTAATAGTTAAGAATAGCATCTAAGAACATACATGACCCTGATGAGGTAACCTTTCCAGCCAGGAGGTGCAGCACAGACACGCTGCACTCTGCAAAGGCCCATTCCCAGCACCCCCTGGCATGTAAGATTAGCCTCTTTGAAGTGTTAGTTCTAACTAGTTGCATTTTAAACCCCACTTTACAGTGTCTGAGTGCCTTTCCAACAAGCTGTGTAATGAACCAGCATCTCCTGCTGCAAAACAGGTGGTGAGTTTTTCTGGTAAATTTGTTAACATAGCAAGCAATTTGTTTTTGATGTTCAGCTGAATAAGCAGCTAAGCAGTAGCGGTCCTTGAAGGTTGGGTCCAGCCAGTACCATGCTTACACTGGAGCATGACAACCCCTCCCCAGGGACAGTAACTCCCTACCCCCAGCACTGGGGAATGCCGTGAGTCTCAGATGTTGTCGCTCTGTGCCCAGCTATCAGAATTTGCTTAGAGCTTGTTCCAGTTTCCAACTGTTAAGAGCAGTTCAGGAAATGTCACCCAGAGAGCCCCCAAGACCATCCAGGAATTACGGAATCAGGTTTTTAGAATATTTTATTAAGAAATTAAGAGCTTAGCTCTGATAAAAATTAGTATGACAATTTGCCTCTAACACATGTGTGAAGCTAACCTGGTTCAGACAAAATTTGAAAACAAAACGGGATAAACTTAGAAGTAGCTTTGGAGTGGTTCTCCCAAAATGACTTCCAGTTGTTGAATTGTCTTCTGACACTGCTGTTCAACTTCTTCACATTCATCTAGAAAAAAAGAAATAAAGCAGGAATTAAGCAGAACAGTACTTACAAAGCTACCCTAGGAAGGCTTCATCACTCATCCCAGCTAGAACTGTCTTCAGAGACCAGGTAGGAAATACTCAAAAATATTTTTGCACCCAGGACTTAAGCAAATCATTTCTACTGGAACACTTATCTAAAATGTGCAAGTGGAGATACCCATACAGGATATAACACTGAAGAAAATACCAGAATTTAACTGACCTTTAGGAGTGTGTTGGATAAAATCCATGGCAGTTTGCATCCTGCATAGTTTAAGCTACTGTATACCAATTCATAAAATTTATAGCAATTATAGCAACCATCCTGTCTGAATCTTTGAAATAAGTGACCCTTAGTCATAGGCCAGTTGTCTGCCTTCATGTATTCCACTTTAGTACATTACCTTCCATGAGTTCAGCTAAGAATGGAATAGATTCTGGTAGCAGGACCAGGTAGTTCTCCTTCAGTTTTTGTGCAACTTCTACCAAAGCAAGCAGAGCAGCAAATCGGACCTAAACCAAAACAAGAATCTTTGTAAGGAAACAAACACTGCAGTAGAGTTTCCTGTTTTCTCCCTGTGCTCCACCCCCTTCCCTGCTTATTTCCATAGAAGTTTGTAAACTAGCTTTCCCTACTGAAGGGCAGTAGTCTTAAGCTAATTTAAATCTCAACATCCAAGTTAAGATAATGTCAAAGGAAAATCAGGTTGCAAGAAGCAGGTATTTTGCTGGAAGTTATTTGATGTAACAGCGTAACTTCCTCTTACAGTGTCACTCGGTTCCACTGTAGCAGAAGGACTTAGATCAGTACAGCGAAAAACCAGGTACTGCTGAATACATATAAGCTGTCATATAGGAGAGTCCTGACAAAACTCTATACAATAAACAGGTCTGAAGGTTGATAAATAACTGTCCTCCAGTTCGCCCTCTAAAGTGTCCTTCATATGCAAACAGGTTGGCTCTTTTGCCAACACCTACCAAATCTTTAAGCAACCCAAACCACACAGTATGGCAGACATCCACACATGGAATATCGACTGCTTACAGTAAGAGCAGAAGGCCATGTTGTATACATATCTCAGACTTGGGTGTAGCATAGTACTATATCGGTATTTTAATTTAGGCTAGTATTTTAGCAATGACTTGGCTAACCCGCTTCTGGTTTTTGGGGCACCGTTCCCATTTGCTAATGCAACAAAGAAAACCAGTTCAAATTATGATAGCTCCCAACCTTAGGAGAGGTGTGCCTCATTTTCAGCAGGATCTGGTAGTTCAGTGGTTTCCAAAGAGAATCATCTGCCATTGCCACTGAAAACTGAGCTATGCAGGGTATCAGGTGTGCTGTCATTCTTTCCTGGAACTTCTCATCTCCTCCAAGCGTATTTTCTAGCTGTGGAAATAAAAAGCTTGTAAAACAGATCCAGGCTCAGATAAACCCAGCCAAAAGCACATCCAGCTTTGGCTTTCAGGTACTCAGGAGTTACGTCCAGGAACATCAGTGGGAGTGCACTGCCCTGCAAGAGCTCAGTGACACGCAAGAACCATACAGAATGAAGACATTTAGAAAGAGGATAACAAAATTAGTAATTCAGAGCCTTAGGCAAAGCAGTTAATACTATCTGTAGCTCAAAGACAATTAATTCATTCCTTGCTTTTTGTTAAGGAAGAGGATGGCAGCCTGCTAGTTAAAAAAAAAATCAAATCTTTCTGCTGGGGGAAGAAAACAAACCAAACCAGCTATGACTTTTTTTGTGTGTGTGTGTGTTTCTCAATACCTGATCAACCAGAGGCATCATCAATGTTTCTGTTCTTTCCTTACTCAGGAACTTCTGGGTGTCAAACAGGAAAATCTTGTGCAGACAGTCTATGGTGAATTGCAACAGCAGACAGCTCTTTTCTGTGCTATTCTCAGAGTCAAAGAAAGCTTCATCTACATATCAATCAAGCAGAGAAAAAAAATATCAAAATGGAAAACACGGAACTTCCAAGAAACGTTGTTAGATTGTGAATATAGCTAAAGGTTGTACTACACAGCAATTATTTAGTCATTATTCAGAACTGTAAAGTAGACGCAATGTTATTTGGCTTTTAGCTAATGCCCTAGCGGTCCTCCAGCTGACTGAACAGCAGTGGCAATAAAAGAATAACCACAGGCTAAAGGAAAAGTGCTTGGCCATAGCTGTGGATATGGAGAATTTCTTCAGGCCACTACAAATGGGATGGGCAAGTAGTTCCCCATACAAAAAAATAATACCTATTTTTGCCAAGAAAGCAGAGGAGTCTGAATAAATCAGGTAGCATATGAGGTAAGTCAATGAATAAAAAAAGCAACACAAAACACGCAAACAGAAACAAATAACCCTTCTTTCTACACAATTTCATTCTCACAGAACTCACTGGGACTGACATGGAAAATATTCCTGTGGTCTCAACTTTGTACTAACAGCCTGGAGTCCACGGATAAAAAAATGTCCTTTTGTTCCATCAGAATAAAAAAGATACCTTATTTATGAGAGAAAGAAGAAAGATAAATGATAGATACGTGCTGTGAAGTAAATCCTGTAAGACTAAAGTTTGAGCAATTAAATGAACCTCTTTCAGCAATTGCAGTTAGCCTGTCAATGCCTCTCTGCAGCGAGTAACTGAAAACTTACCAGTTTTAGAAACGTTGACCTGGTTCAGTGTCTCAGCAAATGGCTTCACTAAATGACCTGCAAACAGGGTGAAGAGACCCTTGAGCTTGTCTGCAAGGCAATCTGCTATTCGGTGGAATGTCAGCAATCTGTCTTTCAGGGTAGACTCTGTTTTGGACCAATCAAAGAGCTGAAAGTGAAAGGCAGATTACATTTTTCCTATGTCTGTGCACTGGAAAACACAAATAGGCTAATGCAGATGAATTATATTTAAACTTCTTACCTTGAAGAAGAGGGGTCTGAAAGAAGCCTCAGAAAGTTTCATAACCATACTTATTAGACAATCAATAATGTAAGCCTCTGTTTTACCAACTTCCTCTAAATCATCCTAGAAGATACAGAAAACATAATTCCAAGTTTGAAATGTAAGAATTTGAACTTTCAAAACACATTTTAGTTTTGTCTGGTTCAGACTAAATACCTAACCATGATGTTTTCTACCCCAAGAACAATTCTGGAACAGAATATTTGATACCCAGAATTTCAGAGCACATATGAAATGGAAACTCCTAAAATTTTTTAAAACAGCTGACAGCATGTAGAGGTTGAGCTGCTGCTGCTGTTCACCCCCCTAAACAAGTCACCTGGGCATGCTCTGTTCGGAAGTCCAGGGCTTTCATGAAAAGCGCCGTCAGCTCAGACTGATGGAAGATCAGGTGCTCCTTCTCCATACCAACAATGTGCTCCTTCAAAATGTCCATGAGGGGACGCAGGCAGTTCTGCCAAAGCAAAAGCAAAGCAATACAAAGGCAACTGTGATAACTGAGAAACGTAACATGGGAACTTGATTTTTGCACTTTTTACTCATAATTTTTACATTTACCCATTAAAACACCGCTGATAAAATAAAAACTTTCCTGTATTTTTGGGGAGCTTAGGTTAGTAGGATTCCTGAAAGGAGTTTGGTCTCCTCTCTCCAATACTAGAGGATACCAGTTAAGTCTGAAAGGTTTGCACCTACAAGACGGGAACAAAGCACAGATGAAAATGATGACTCCACTCGTTCCCAGCAGATCATGAAGGCCAATCACCACCTTTATGAATGGGATGATCTTTCAGGCATCCATCGTTTGACGTGCTAAGGACACTACACTGGTGTGTGCATTTCTCCCAGGTCTGACTTTTCTGAATCACCATTGCCGTACAGAAGAAAACGGAATATAAAGATTGTGCTAGGTTTGG